AGCGGTGGTAGTAACTTCGAAATTCTTTCAGAATTCGAATAAAGAAGTTTCTTTAAATTTCTTCCACAAAAAAATTATTTAATCAAATCAAAGAAAGCCGCTTCGCAAGTTCTAATTAAAATTTTATTAAATTTTCAATCTTTTTTTTCCATGAAGCTCATTCATTTTGCATATAATTTCTTTTCTTTTAAAATTTTAAAAGCTTTTACTTTTAACTTTTTTTTCATTTATTAATTCAATCTTTCAATATTAATTTAAATTTAAATTTAAATTTTAACTTTACTATTCAATGTTTATTAATTTATCAAAGATTTTTTTGTTAGCAAAATCAACAAATTAATAATATCCTATGACATTGTAAAATAGAATACTTCAAATATATGTATTGAAGGATGACAATGAGTGATGATCATTTGATGTAACGCAACGATCCTTAATGCGATCATAAATATGAAAGGATGACTACCGACAGGGCAAGTAGTCATTTGATGAAAGATTGCTGTGTGATGTTAAGCGTCAATTGTTTAGAGTTCCGGAGCTAGCTGAGGGACCAGCTCATTTTCATCTATTTTTTTCCTTCTTTCAAAAAATTTTGATGAAATAAATTTGTACGGATGAAAAACAAATGCTGTTCTTTTGCCGGAAAGCCGTACTGAATGAAATTATTCCGAAATGTGAAGAATTTTTAAACAAATTAGTAAAATAATGTTTTACAATATCAATAAACAAATCACTGTTAATGATAATCAGTGAATGATAATCAAATTATGTATTTTAAAAGAGAAGTTGAGAGGAGATTCGTTATTCTTGTCATGTCATATCGATAACGATTGATATTATCATACGTTAATTAATTTCACTGCAAATTTGAATTCAAAGATTATTGATGTTCTTATAAAAAAGAAAAAAAATTTACTGATTACAGTAAGAATATAATAGTAGAAGTGGCATTCGATACAACTGATAAAAGTTCATTTGTTTTATCCGATAAAAGTTTATTTGTTCATTTGAAATTTGAAAGCATATTTCGAATAGAAAATCATTTACAATGAAATTCAATGTAATCTAACATTGTAAAAAAGTAAATAAACGGGTTGGCTCTCTCCCAAGGGAATGCGCGCATATCTACATATTATCTAGTACAATCGGTCATTATTGCGGTTCAATGATGACGCTGGAAGAGGTCAACTGCAACAATAATAAGTACACTTGACAATTATGATGCCGCACCATGGGGTTAATCTGAACTCCTTCTACACAATAAATGTTCTTTCAGCCATCTGTTTGACATATATTTTAAACGTAGAAATTGAATAGCCTGAAAAGTGCTTACTAAAACATTTCAGTAAAGTGTTTTGGTTTAAGTAATTAATCTCTTATAAAACGGAATTAGTTTATAAAGTTAATGTATGTATGTAAATTACTATTGAACCAAATAACCAAAGAAACTTTAACTTAAACAAAAAAAATTTGTTCTTTTATAATTAGAAATAAAATGTTAGAGAAATGTTTATAAATTCTTTTAATTAATAACATACTTTCAAATTATATTCATTAATTTATACTTAAAAAAGGTATGATTGAATTTGATTATTTAGAATTTCTTGAAAACATTCATTTTAGGAGGTTAATTAATAAGAAATAATCTAATTTTGTTAATTATTTTTTGTGTAATTATGAAATGGAATTTAAATTTAGCATTAAGAAAAGACGAAAGTGAACAGAAGAAAAGAACTGTAAAATGAAAGAATTTAATTAAAATTAACGAAATTAATCTTTTTCTTTTACTTGTCGTAAATATATGACAATTAATTGATGTCACATTATTGTTATCACATTATTAATAATTCACTGATCACATTATTAGTGATTTTCATATCATTAAACAGTGTACAACATTAACAATAGATCAATATTCACATTGGTATATATATTTGAAACAAAACAAATTCATTTGGTCATTCATGTATATTACTGATCAAAAGAATTATTTAGTGGGCATTTTACAATGTATTGTAAAGAAATCAAGGTACATGTCGGTCAGAGAAAATTACAAAATTTCAAATATGAAATACATTTAAGTTCAGTTCATATGGATAAATTATCGAAATCATACAATGAATATATGGATAAATTATCGAAATCATACAATGAATATTTCCTTGAAATTAACAGTATAGCATTATTCGGAAAGTAAACTAATTTTCATTGTTTTATTCATTATATTCATATCAAGTTTATTACACACTTAACTTTTCCAAATTTTTAACACATATTTTATTATGAATAAGTAAAGATTTGCTCCTTTCTACCTATAGATAGGCTGATATTGTGTCATTAATGCAATCCTGAGATATGGATGATTGTTATGATTACTTCATGAATTTCAATACCTTTAATTTTAATTCCCATTATTCTCATTATTCCATTATTCTTTCGTCACATCAATTCTAATTCTTAATTCTAATTCCTAATTCCCATCATTCTTTACAAGTTTTCTTTCTCTTTTTTTTCCAGTATACATAAACATTACTTCCAATTTGAAATATTACTCACAATTAAGTACTTCTAATTAAAGTTATTATCAAATATAAGATTTGTTGAATATGCTGAAATTGCAACATAACATCGATTAAATGAAAATCAGAAAATAATTTAAAATTTCCTCAATGAGATGACATATTTAAAGATGAAAAAGATAAGATAATCGAACATATAATAGTTTATCTGTTGTAAATTCGATTATCCTTTTCATCTTATATACTATATTACACATATAACATAAATGATAACTCTATTATCTGATCATAATAAGAGAGTATTTGACAATGTCCGTGGATAGTATCTGGAAATGAATTACGTAAGACGGTGGTGTATAATACAACAAATACCGCGTGTTTATAGTTCTTTTCCGCCACTTATGTGCTTCCGCTATTGAAAATCTTTACATACATATCACTGTGGACATAAAAAATTTGCCAATATATGAAACAATTAATATTAAAATATAAATTGAACCATATCATCGTCAAATTTTGCCAGTTTTAAGAGAGTTATTTATGATTAGCGATTGCTTTTCTTCATAAATAGGGGAAGACAAGCAATTATTTGTTTTGACAGTAAATATGATACAATGATCAGATTGCGAAAAAAGAAAGTTCAAAAATTCGAAGATCTATCCTCGGAAGTTTAAATTCGAAGAAATAAGAGGAATGCAACTTTGATGTAATGTAATTGTACAGTTGAAAGCGAAATTTATTTCTTATGGGAAGGTTAGCTTTTTAGTTTTGATATTGTTTAAGTCTAAAGAACTTATTGAAACAGAGGGGAGGGGATGGGGTCACATTCGATTATATAATAAAGTTTCGATGTATTAGCATAGTGACCATTTATCAACAGTTACTTATTTTTAAATCAGTTCCATATTTCGATGTATTAGCATAGTGGCCATTTATCAACAGTTACTTATTTTTAAATTAGTTCCATATCAACAATTTCCATATCTTTTTTTAAGCAAAGATAGAAATTTTTAAACAACCACCTGCTAGCATTGAATATATTCTTACTTACTAAAAACAATTTTAAATACAGCACAAAACTTTTTCAATCATCTTTTAAACGCTATTTTACCTTAACAAAATTCATATTTAATAAAATTTCACCTGTTGTGGTGTTGCTCTCTTTTCTCTAAAATTTGAAAATATTCCCAAATTATATGAAAATAGTATAATCGAACTTCGAAATGAAACTTTATTTTCAAATTTAATCATTTTTTATATGAAATAGATATCACTAAGTACTATTATATACTGATAGTTATCTTCCAGGTAAACATGAGCGCATAATTATGCAAATCCTCCCTTACGTTATGGTAATTACCAGAACGTCAATGACATCCTATCCTCTATTCAAATCCCAATCAATTACCACCATATGCCACCATCTGTTATTGAACAGAATGGTTACTTAAGAATTCCGGAAAGAGAAATTTATACAAAGAATCTTTTCCAAATGAAATTAAATGAGCATTAAGTCTCTTATGTTCCGTAAGTTATAAAACCAATTTTGATATTTTTTCAAGCTTTTTTCCTTCTTTTTTCGCAATCTTACTGTTATATAATATTCACCGTCAAAGCAAATAATTGCTTGTCCTCCCCTATTAAAATAAAACAATTGCTAATTATAACCTCTTAAAAGTGGCAAAATTTGGCAATGATGTAGTTCAGTTTATACTTTAATACTAAACGTTTCATTGGCAAATTTTTCATGTCCATGGCGATATTTATGTAAAGATTTTCAGTAGCGGAAGCATATAAGTGGCGGAAAAGAATCATAAACACGGAGTATTTGTTGCATCATACATCGTCTTATACATTCACTCTTTTCTTTTTTTCCAAACGTTACTCAGAATGTGGTATTATTCGTATAAAATAATTAAGACACATTTCCGCAGTTGAGCATAAGAAATACTTAATAACGAGTAATGTCCCAAAGGGAAGTAACATACGTATCTAGTGAAAAGTAAATAAATATAGAACATAAATCGCCGTATCAACAGATTATTTTTAATTATATCTTTCAGAAGAATTATATTAAGCAAGCTGATTTAATTTTATAGAAAGCCAATTTTTCTTTGCTACTAATATATATCGTGACTGTTATGGTTATTACCAGGCCTAGATATTACCATAATTAATATGATATATAATGCCACCCATCAAAGTTAGCTTATAAATGTACGTGATAGAATTAAAGACTTATTTCAGACTGTTTGAGAAATATAACAATTTATTACAATTAGAAAATTCTTTAATTCTATAAAAAACTAAAAAATTCTTTAATTCTATAAAAAAGTAAGTTAAATACAGTTATTGAATGCTGGTGATAAATGCAAAAAAATTTTGGCTTTTATAGTTTCCACTGAATAGCTGGCTAATACTAGCAATCATACATGCTACATATCGAGCAATACAGCAATAGGACGACAAAATTACTATTTATTAGGAGTCATAAACTGAAATAAAAAATGACTCTACAGTTTTCAGTTTCTTAAATCTGAACCTTAATGCAATCAAATTAATATACAAAAAAAACGTTATGAAATGAATAAAACAGTAAACTGCTATCAAAAGAGAGAAAATGTCAGGAAATCGTGCTGGTGGCGCAAAAAGTAAGTTTGTCAAACATAACATCAACGATGTCAAGCAGCTTCCATGAACTACCATTCGCTAAAAATCATCTCAATAATTCCGAAACATACAAAATAGTGATAGTGAATTTAAGAACAGGTTAAGTTACTATTGATACCTGGAAGTCAGACAAAGCCTTGAAGGCCGCATTCTTCTGCAATAAGAGAATAATATTTTAAGCAAATAGAAATTTCGTTTAAAAAAAAAATACGAAGTACCTTAAATACCGAAAGTTTTGAGAAAGATGAACATGAAATAATATAATAAAAGATAAACAGAGCTAAATGAATAGCATTGCCGTCTTTGATGCACAGTGGATAGAGACTGAAAATATTTTGTAACTCATCAGTCAAACACAAGTAGAAAAACAGAAAAACAAGTTTCGTTTTCGCAAAAAAGTCATATCTAATTCATTTTAGGACTCAAAAACTGCCACCCTGTGGTGGAGTCTGATAGCAGGGGCATTTATTAACTTAGCCGAAAATAAAAAACTTAATAAATTCAAGACATGACAAAGCTAACAGGATATTGGAAATAAGCTACCTCATCGTCTTTCTTTGCAAAATAAAAGGATTTCAAGTCACTATTATGTAGAGTGTTAGCTTAAGTTCTTTTCGATAGTTGAATTAATCAATAAAAATACATCTGCAGTCTATAATGAAGTAATAGTTTTTAAAATACAAGTAGATGGCTTCTTAATGAAAAATACCGAATTCAGCAGGGATGCAAAAGAGAGAAAAATAAAATAACCTTGTATTTGAAATGATCAGTAGCCAGGAAACAAACACAGGATTTTCATTCCATAATAATATACCAGGTCTGTAACAAAATGATATTCAAATGAAATAAACATTTTCGAGCAAGATCTAAAATATCATTGAAATTGAAAAAATCCGAAAAAAACATACAGTGCTACAAGAAGGATTGATTTTTCATGAACTTGAAATGAAAACAAAAAGAAGGATAAACTGGATGCCAACAAGCCATATTTGAAGTTGATCACTGTCGGGTAGTGAAACAAACACAATAACCATGGAATGTTCGTTACAAGAACCATTATGGCGCTAAAAACAAAAATTTCGTGAACAATGAAATTCGTAAGTCGCAAAACACGAAAGAATTTGGTCTAATTAAAAGTGAAGCAAAAATTTGAAAATGGATACCTCATCCGCAACAAGACTAGCATTTCAAAATTATCCTTCAATTTGTATAATACATTAATAGAACACCAAAAATTCGCTACTTTATCCTAAACAAATGTTGTTAGATAATATCTTTACCAATTCTAGTTTGAAGCAAGAAAAAAAATGCTAAATAAAGGAACGTTACTTTTGTACCTCGAAAATGCCACGGTAAAATGGAAAAATCCGATGCAAAATCTGTATCAAATCAGATCTGGTGACAAAAAAGGGAAACCAGACGAACCCAATTGTAGTAACGACAGTAATAAATAGTATGAATAACTGCTTTACCCAAGAAAGATATCTGCAGGACACAAAATTAAGCTTTTTTTCTAGTTTTATAAATAAAAATAAAACCTTCCACTTTTTTGTTGGCTTTTGTACTAACAAAACTAAACAGAATAAAAAAAAACCTCTGAATCGCGCTTAGTCGATTATTGTTCGGAAATGACTTTGACAATAAATAAGTGGCAATCGGTAGGGCATGATATAACTCCATTTGCTTGAAGTTTAACGCCAGCACAAAAAACATTGAACCAAATTTAAGATAATTTGAAGTGAAGCAAGCAAATGAAAAGAGAAATAAACCAAGTGATACATGATTATATCTGAAATCACAAACAACTAAAATGCGGTAACCGATTTTTTTTCGTTGAGTAAATAAACATATGAGTATAATGGAAGTGTTACAAGTTTGTTCTTGCCTGAACGGGACCTTAAACAATTTCCGTTATAGAAATTTCCTCTCTAAATGTGATACAAAACATTTAAACAAAAGGTTCAAAACCAACTGAAAATGGCCATTATCCATAACCAGTAATCCAGGGTACAGCACAGCTACTGAACAATAATTAAACTGCAACATATAACATTTTTAGCCTTTTTTCTGGTGTTTGCTTAGAAATTATTCAGAACTTCAAACAAACATATTTCTGAAAAACAAGAAAACCACATCCAGCTTTAAAAAATATTAATAATACAACGACTATTCGCTGTTAAAGTGAACTTCAAATAAAGCTTACCATTTTACAAGATACAATATTGCGGAAAAAGCCGATTGAAAGTAACAAAGAAGAAACATAAACTGTCCAATATGTTGCTAAAACAGTTATTCTCATGAAGATTTTGTGAGATTCTGTCTCGATTCCCCTTGATGTATGCAGCTCCAGCCATGAACGATTGAGCTTGTTCGCTCTGAAAAGTTATCATTTGAACTAAAAGTTACGGATATCCAATAACGTAACTAATATCGTAAGGGCAGATAAGATCTTGATTTTAAGTTATATGAATATTCCGCTACTATTCTAAAAAGAACATGAAGTTCAATCGCAAAATTACGCATCTGTTATATACCGATTCAGGTTTATGCGGTCCAGTTTTATTATAATTAGCACTCAAATTCTGGAGCAACTCGAAAATAAAAAATATAAATACGGATGAACTCAACTCACACAGTCCCGAGAAGCCAACTGTGATAAGCCGTAAGAGGTGGATAATCCAATCCCCAGTAATTCAAATCATTATCACTGCTATTTACGTACCTATTAAAAGAAGAAATTAGCCACATGTGAGCACCATAAAAGACACAGAACTGTTGCAAAAATTGCTGCAAATAAGCTTTAAATATGCATACAGAAGTTTTAGCTACGAAGATTCAATTCGTTTTAGTGAACAACTACAAAATATTTGATAAGCACAGTTAACTTATATAGGTACGTCATTACCATTGATTAACAGGCAAATGATACGTTATTTCCATCCAGTGTCTTTGAGCCTCATAATCACCATACATCGGCGGGGTAGCATGACCTAAAACATGAATTATTAGTATCAGGAGAGTAGAAATAAGATGATTTACTCACAATACAACATGGTAGCAACATAAAATCCTTCCTTTTAGTATTTAAAATATAAATGAACTTTTTACATCGAATGTGATATATCCAAATGAGAAAAGATCTGAGAAAAAGATCGTGATGAAGATAAAACCACTAAAACATTTAATTAATGAAAACTGGCAGAAACAAACCGGAATAAGATCCCAATGACAATGCAATCTGGACAGTAATAGCGAAGCACATAAGAGCAAGGAATGCCGCTTCATTTGTTGTACTGATAATAATCCTCTTCTCCCTATCATAGTTTATCTCCGCTCCCTTCCCCTGAGAATCCGTGACAGTACTTGCACTAATTGAGGGAGTCATCCTTCACATCACTATACCGTACACCCTTCGCACCGCAACTCGTATCCAAACCCAGTTCCGTTCTTTGCTGTCCGCATTCTCTTCTTTACCTCTTTTGAGCTGCAATTCGCCCTTCTTCTCTCTCTTCGCTCTTTACGTTGTTATTACATAAATCTTATTAATCTCTGTCGTATTCCTGATTTTCATACTGTTTACCTGTCGTTTATATTCTATGATCATTGATTCTAGTAACCTGCTCTTCTTCAGCTCTACACACCAATACATACACCATAAATTCTCTTCACGTCGTCCGAAGGAATTCGCTTGGTCACTATTAACATTCATAGAAGTGAAGACTCCAGTCACCGAGAATCTTTGGCAAAGCCAACATCTGGGAATCCTCGGGAAACTTGCTACATATTTGCAGGAATCCAACAAAATTGATGATGAATACAATCATTCTGGAACTACTTTTTTCAACATTCTGTTGTTATTTCTGTTATGTCGAAAAAAACAATTTTCAAATAGTTTATTGATGGCGTTAATTGAACCCTATTATCACGGAGTATTTTGATTAGAATGTTCAGTATAATTGTGCTTTAAACATTGAATTAATTGTTTCTTGCAAAAATATTTCATAAGCAATAATATGTGATAAGAAAATCCGGAAAGGTTTCTAGACATACATCACTGATTAATGAGTAAGCACCATTTGTTCGAATTTGATTTGTTTCTGTAATTTATCAACATTGTTTTTCATTTGACGTAAAGAAAGCATCAATTCTTGTTTGAAAGTTACACCATAACAACCTCGGCACCTCAACGATAGCACTCGTTCCAGATCTTCATACACTGCACCAGAAAGGGTAGCCAGCATTTCGCGCATTTCCAGCTCAAATAAACGGAAGTACTTGATTGGTGTTATAAGCTTACAATTTAGATTTATCTCTGTTTTGAATAATATGAATTTCAGACTAAGAATCCCAAAAGATAGTAGGAAAACTAATTTGAGTTAACCAAACATATGTGGTTCGTGATGTCTTTGTGGAGTAATAAAAACTTCTCTTTAAGAGTTTTTAACTTTTTTAATTATGATTTCTTAAATTTATTCTAATTCATCAAACAAATTCAAGGGAAATTGGTATTCAATTGTCACTAGTCCTTTTATGCCTTATTCTCATCTATGATCGTTGATTTTCATCACTCTCTCCTGTTAAATTTATAATATTTAAGCTAAGAGAACCTTGCACTTATTGAATTTCAACAACCAGTCTACTTTAGTGTCACTAATCCTTGCTGTATCAATGTTTATCCGGATAAGTTTTTCTGTTGCCGCCATTTCGACATCTAAGTTTATCAGAAACGGCAATACCTTGTCCTGAAATATAGTGACTGCATTTCATACTCCCTATATATTCATTTCTCTTTAATATCAATAATATTTATCCCTCTGCAGATGTGTTATACAGGTACATTTATCTGATGGGTTTTCAAAACTTTTCTTGAATCAAAATAAATCTTTGAAAAAAGGAATGATTTAAAACTGTAATTGGGAGCAAAGATAACCTCTAATTCGCGAAGCAAACTAAGTGCATTTGCTGATTCATCACAAACATCCACAGCAAAATCAATCAACAAGTTAGTGATGGTCCTTAGCTGCAAATTGCTAAAATTATGTATAAAAGTGAATATTGTAGAAGTAAATTTAAATTCTGTCATCAGAGTATAATGATTAGGGGAACAACACATTTCTAATATCCAATGAATGCTTTGCTATTACACTGCTCAAATGCTGGCTTTAGTTTTGAAATTAAGGCTCAATGAGACATTTTTTCAGTAGAAAATGAAGGAAATTCAAATAATTAATGAAAGAAAGAGACAAAAGATAAATGGATAGAAGCAATAGAAGCTATCAACAGTATGTCATCTCCGTTACGATTCAGGAATGGAGGAGACGTTTCGGAGTGAGATTTTATTTTGTTACTTCCTCTTGTTACTTCTTTTTATTTTTTCTCTTTAAGTACTTTCCCTTAACTGTCTGTTATTTTGCAAAATTTTATAGAAAACATTTGTTGCAGAAAATATGTCTTTGAATATAATTAATTAATTACTGAACTAAAAAAATTGAATAGCAAAAATTAACCGCAATGAATAATTTCCATTCACGTTTCAATATATATACTATTTAATAAAGTACGGCGATACAATGTCATACTTAAAACATTAGTACATCATTCCTTATGTATAACGTTACTATTATGGCAATAGGCATGGAAAGATATGTAATTTTACACTTAAACTAGATTTAATTCTAAAATGAATTATCTTTTATCGAAGAGTACTAACTTGATTACAAAGGTGTGTACACACGGATGCCAAATGCGTCTTGTCGACAATAGCATTATTACTGATCTCCGAAATTTTTTCTGATGAAGAGTTTGGCGGATGCGAATTCATGTTGAATGACACGTAGATGAAGAGAGGATTTTTTGAGTGTTGCAAACTGCTGCAAAATGATTGATAATCGTAGAATGATATATTATGTTAGAAGATGCCAAAGATTTTTCAATGAACAGTAATTTAAATCGACAAAAAATTATTTTACTGAGTACGAGCCTTCCATTCGTAGATCCATAGTAATTGTACTGTTTAGTAACGATTAATTAGAAATCTTGTATTGTTGAAACCTTACGGATATGTTTGTATGAAATTTATTTTTCGTAATTATATGAAATTTAAAGTCTACACTGCCAGAAATCTTCCTTTATTCAGAATCCAATGAAAGTCATGTGGTATCGAAAAAGTCGAATTATAATATGTTGAAATAAAATTTATAAGAAATCCATCAGACTAAACATTATCTTATTTCAATATTCCTTAAACAAATATAAAATTGTTTCAATTTCAAAAAAAAAAATAAATAAGAAATCATTTATCTAAACCTCATCTTCCATTTGTAGCTAAACTTATCTACTTTGCTTAGAATATTACAGTTTGTTAACAAAAAAACATGAGCTTAATATGTTTAAATGTCCTCCCAATTTTATTGTTAATATCTTCTAATTTGACAGCCATACTTGTATTCCACTGGTAAATGGTTGTAAGCTCTTTGTCAATTAACTTTCTTCGTTCAAGATGAAATCTATTCGCAATGTGGGATTATTGCAGAGTCTTCCAATCTGACAATCATTATTCACTCTAATAAGCAATTTTCACAATGTTAAAAGCGAACTCCTATAATGTTAAGAGTAAAGATTATCCAATGGGATATCTCTTTATTCACTGTAATGCGCTTGGTTGTAATCCACTGTCCACTATATAAGGAGTTAAACCCTTTATTCAACACAGGTTTTGGAGAGTGTCAGCAAATGTCCACTCAGTATGGCTTTAGCGCATTCATTCAAATCTTTTACATATTTTCAAAAACATCTGTTTTTTCCGCTTCATCTCCATCATTCGGATTTCGTCGATAATATTTCTATAAAAAGAAATCCTTGTCATATGAAATTATCGATATATATTGTTAGCATAGATTAATATTTTATGTAACGTAATTGTTAACGAATAAAATTCGTTACAACGGACTCTCTATTACGCAACACATGCGTGTGCACGAGCTCCGGAATACAATCAGGAAAGATCCCTAGCAAATCCATAAGAAGAAATCCTCGTCATATAGAATTAACACTATAAGAGTAGTTTCCACTTTAGACTATCAAGAATAAATTGAACGAATAGCTAGAAACAGTTGAAAAAGTTAAGAACCAATGTTATGAATAATGCGTATAAAGGAATGAAACAACCATTGGAGTGGATAACCCATTTTGAAGAGCGTATTGCGTGGAAGGTCATCAATGGGTTGAGAAAGAGAAATATTACTGCTGCAATTTATTTTAATAAACTTTACAATGGAAGGAATCACCATTTCAACTAATTCCACTACCGTCGGATGATTAAAGGAAATGTTAATTTCAATTTTGAATTTCAGAAGAAAAATAAATCAATTGGAAAATTCATTTTAAAAAACTTATTTTCTTTTTCTTCAAATAGTAAATTGGAATCAAAATTGAGTGATTTCGAATTAAAAATTGTAAACAAACGCGATAATGAATAATGAAATGATGTGCATACAATTTATTCGATAAATGTAAGGATCCGATGGATATTGCTCAGAGATGCCCTACATTGCCAATAACACCGCCCCAAACTGATGAAGAATTTCAACTTATCCTCTTCAATCATCAAACGATCAGATGTATACGAGAAGTTGTTACAAACAGTTGATTGTCTAATCTCATGGAAATATATTGACTGATCTGCGCTTTATTGATTGAAATAATCCATTTCAGAACAAACTAAGATGAAATGTTATGCATATCGCTGCGGCAACAGTTTGGATAACATATATTACTACCTATTTCAGTTGTGATGTGAATTAAGAATGGGCTATTTATTTAGTTACTACTATCTCATGAACTCGATTACTAGTAAATAATGAGATGGTCACAAATAAGAAATCAAAATTAGCTCAGTAACTTCAGCATATCTTCATCTTAATTCACTTTATTTTTATTCACAGTGATTATCTTCCATTATAAAAAAAATCAATTCCACCATTCATGAAAGTGAAAGGTTTAATTGTGCTGTATAAAACTGATTATGTATAAAATTTTCTTATCAATTCATTACTGTCATTCGCCATACTTCTATGACTCAAGTAAATACGGTAAAAAGATCTTCTGATATTACCTTTATGAATAGTTGGACATCGTTACACAAAAATTTCAAACATAGCCACATCTTTACGTCATAATTATATTTATGCATATTAAACCATAATGAGTAATGAATGAATCTTTTTTTTTGTTTTACATTTTTGCAATTCCTACGACAAAAGCTGTAAGAAACAAAATTCGTAAAATGCCTGAAATTCTATCCGTTCTGGAAAATTTGCGTAGCTAAGCCAATTTGGATATTTTCATAGCTTTTCAATGTTTCTAATATCGATTGATCACATTAAAATTTGGTGAAAGAATTTAATAAAATTCCTACAGCAAAGCTTTCTCCTTCTGACAATATTATCTAAGACACTGTTTTTACAAATTTTTTACAAGTTTTGTTGAGAGAGGAAAACTTATTAATATGTAAGCTTATCGTTTATAACTGCTAAAAGGGAAGAGGAAGGAGAGAGAGAGAGAGAGAGAGAGAGAGGAAGTAGTTTAGCAAAATGTCTTTAATGTTATAATCATTTTAAAATCAGAATTAAACCAAAAAATTTTCCACTTTTATACTTCTGAAATGAAATGAATGTTTCATTAATTTAGAAATAATTTCATTCATTATTTTTTTCGCTCTAATGAAAAAATCTCTCAACAACAAAAATATTAAAATAAAGCCATTTTATTTCGGTTGATTTCCGCCTGTTTCGATTCGAATGATATCGCATTAAAATGACATTAGAATGTAATGAATTAATCGAATGAAATTATCACGTTTCTTGATATTATGACACTTCTTTAAAGTTCTTTCCAGCTGAACTTTCAACTGTGAGAAAAATGAAATAATTAAATATATCAGAAATGGTTAGAACTATTTATCTAAAAGAGTTTCAAAATTGAATCGAAATGAAAGTGCTTTAATACAAATATATTTCAAGCATTTTTAAATGATAAATTTTTTTCTTTACCTTAAATGCAGCAGTTCAGCTATAATTTCTGAAATTGTTTGGCATGAACGAAAGCTAAATTTGTTTGAAATTTTCTATCTGATACTGCAGGACTTCAATCCTTAAATATCGTTTCATTTCAAAAAATTTTCTCTTCTTTTTGATTCAATTTTACATTCCGATGTCCAACTATTCATAAAGGTCAGAAGGAGAAAGCTTTGCTGTAGGAATTTTATTAAATTCTTTCACCAAATTTTAATGTGATCAATCGATATTAGAAACATTGAAAAGCTATGAAAATATCCAAATTGGCTTAGCTACGCAAATTTTCCAGAACGGATAGAATTTCAGGCATTTTACGAATTTTGTTTCTTACAGCTTTTGTCGTAGGAATTGCAAAAATGTAAAGCAAAATAAAAGATTCATTCATTATTCATTATGGTTTAATATGCATAAATACAATAATAAATTAGAGGTGCGACATATTTGGAAAGCTTTTTCAATAAGTAAAAACAGATACAATTAATTACTTTGTTGAGGATAAAGAAAACTTTCCAGGGCACAAAATGCTATTCATAGATAAACCGTAAATCGAGGTAAGTTTGATTCTGAAGTTTCCAAAGTGTGTGAACAACATGTTCACATCAATTTAACGGACAATAAAAATGAAAATTGACGTGAATCAAAATCAAAATAATAAACTTTAAATGGAAAGTTACACTTTCGGTAAATGTTGAGAGGAAAAAGAAACCTTCTGGAAGAAGTGCCGACTAAATATATTTTCAAAAAGATGAACTATTATAGACTAAAATTCGTTGAAGAAAAATTTGTTTCGTATAATTTCAAATTTGCATCGTTTGCGTCCATTTTGTATATTGCAGATGTTAACATACCTTTAAGGTATGGAATTTCCCTGAATTCCCAACAATTAAAGAGATAAAAGAAATGAATCAAAAAAAATATGCAAAAGAAAAGCACTCTTTTGTACAGTTTGCTATTTATCACTTCTTTTACTCTTTATTTAGTTTCACTTACCTGCGTTCTTTTTAATTAATTTTCCCTGAACAAATTTCTCTTCCCGAAGGTATCGAAAAACACAAAAAGTTAAAAACTGAAAAATAAAGAGGTTAGCAAGTGATTTCTCCGATTAATATACGGCGTGAAAAAACTGATAAAGAAATTTTTTACGTAAAGCATTCTATAAATTAAACACATCTGAAGGAACAGATCATTTGTTTCTATATTATTCCTAAGAGATGAAGAACTGATAAATAACTCGGGAGCAATTTAGCATTTTGAAAATCAATTCAAAAATAGATGGTAATTTAATTTATTAAGATAATTTAGAGAAATAATTAATGCTATATCAAAAGTTAAAAATTAAGCATTCATTTTTATGGCACACTTTACGATCAAATGAATAATAGTGCCAATTGAGAAATACGACGTGATTTTATTCATTATGGAATTCATTTCTTTCTTCTTGAAGTTCTCATATGAAATATAATCTCATATAATGATGATATTAGAAGCAAATTTAATTTTTTTGGTTGAATTCCATAAATTTTCTGGTAGAAAGGTAATTAGTCAACTTATCAATGGACTAATTCGGAATAATCATTCACTATATGTTCCAAGGAAATAGTATTTGTAAAGGATTATTCACATTGTATATCTCCAAAATGGGAATCCAATATTTATAATTCCAGAAGGAAAATTTCACAGCAACGAAGGAATCATTTCATGTCAACCGTATCAATTATCATCCCTTGCGGGACTCTATAATTTCATA